CCGCCTAGGCAGGTCATCATATAAGGTTTGTGGTCCGTCCCGTCAATATGCATTCGGAATATTACATTTTCAAACCTTTCTGTGGTTCCAAAATTTTTTTTTATTTGTTGTTGTGTTCTTTGTTTTTAATTGAATTTAACGTTTAGGATGTTGACGTCCCACGCGGTGGTCTTTTTTTAGCGAAGTAAAAATGTTCTTAACATACGCGACGCCCAGATGTTCCCGACTGTAGTGTAATATTCTATGTATCTATTTGAAAATCTAGTGTATACATCCATGTTTGCTTACCACATTTATTCACTTGGTCTCTGAAATTCCCGCAAAGTTGCTCTTTGTTAGGATCGATTTATCGCTGATCTCGATCTGAATGCAGGAAAAACCCCTGAAGGTCCCTTGACTCGAGTTGTTCTGCAATGTGTTCTGAGATGAGGGGACTCTGATTTCTGTAACAGTCTCTATTATTATACCTTTTTAATAACGTGATCACACAAAAAGCTGCTTCCTTGGAAAATCAGCATCAGAGACTGAAAACTTTTTAAAAACGCACAAAATAAAAATACAACGAAACCAACTGGAAGAAACACTGTCCACACTACGTGCCTATTCTTCCTATGTAATAGTATATATTAAAAACAGTAGTTTTTCTGTTTGGAACACATTTGGTATTTTTAAAGGGTCTTTATCTAGAGACGGTATATTAATATAAGAGAACATTAATTTTAATTTCCTTGCAATCGCACAGCCCGCTTAAATTTACATTTTTTCCTTGAATCTGGGATTCACACCCAATTGTGTGTTAACATTTCACATTGAAAACACCCCTTAGGCCACTTTGATCCATCGGCACTCCCCCCCCCCCCCCCCCCCTCCCCTCACCCCCCCCCTCGGTAGCATTTTAATAACTAGGTCTGTGTAGTCCTTTGCCTTGACACAGAGATGATTCAGTGAAATGTCACGATTGGTGTGTGCGATAGCTCGAGAGGAGTGCTGTCCTGTGTCTCAGCATGTGATGTCACACTAGTGTATATATTTCCACGGAGAACAATCGAAACACAAGCATAACGTAACTGTTTTAGAGTGTTGCATGAATGAGTCATCAACCTGGAAATAAGTTATCTTCTTACCACTTCCCTTTTCTCGAAGTCAACATTTTATGAATAAGTTTGTGGGTAGTTGCCTGAAATAAGGTCTGTGGGATGTACAAGCTTAAGAGATTCTTAAGTTGTGTTCTACGTCAGAAAATATGTAAATAAATATGCCACTGGTGAATCACAAAAACGTCTTTTCATAAAAGATTGCGGTTGCTAACAAGTTAATAAATGAGACTACTCAACCTAATCAGTCCAAACATTAGCTGACTTTAGCTTAGCCTTGGTGAGTAGCTTAACATTAGCTTTTTACTTCTGGCAGTTGCATTTTAAAATTATGAAAGTGGTCTTAATATGTGGAAATTATCCGAACAGTGCAACAAAATTAGCTTTAGCATTAGTTTCTTTCGAGGGAGCCCTTGCAATGTTAATAGGTCGGCCTGAAAAAAAAATTGTGAACAATGCATCATTCTATTGGACAATACCCTTGAGTACTTTGAGGAAAGCATTTCATAATCATATTTATTTTTATTTTTCTCTCCTCACTGATGAAACTTGCCTCTTCAGTTTGTATGGAGTCATGCATGTTTGTTATATGTGTCCAGGGCTCATGTGTACAATAGACCTACCATGAGGGGGATGTTTGACCGTTTAAATTGAATGTTCAACCGTTATAGCACAGCTCTAAACATACTTGACTGTTTCTGATTGTTTCTGATTGATCAGCGCTGCAGTTTGAATTAGTTGAGGCATTGTAAAGCTCTGCGGTTTGTCTCACATATTTCCTGGATATTATGCATTTCTGTTGTAATGTAGAAGTCACTGTAATGTAAAGAGCGTGGGTTTAGGCACTCTTCTAAAAGTCTGCTCTTGTTAGTAACAAAAAATAAGTCCATTTGTATTTTGTGGGTGGTGTTTGTAAATGTTTCCTGTGCAGGTATAGATCGCCAGGTCAACATGGTCTAAAGGTTACCGGTGGGAGAGATTGTTGTGTCAAAATCTATGGTCAAAATAGACAGACATTTCCAATCAGCTTTTGGTCACAAGGTGTATGTTTGTGTGGACATCTCTAACTAGAGTGGGGGGGGCAGGAGCTCCAACAAGCCATTTAGGACAGAGAGTGAATACACATACTATACAGAGACGCTGTATGAGAAACCAATGTAATTTTAAAAAATGTCACAATATAAATATATTCTAGTAGACCTCAACAATGGAATTGTGATCAGTTGAAATGGCCCTTTAAGTCTAACTTTAGTCCTGTTCACGTGTTTGTATCTTTTGAGAAAACGTACGGCAACAAAAGTACTCAAGGGTTATGTGGTAAAGAAAGCCAATGTTAAAAAAAACACACAAACAAGGGGAGATGGTTAAAAACTGGTTAGTGGCTATTCAGAAAAAAAATACTTTTTATTTCTGTATAGACTTTTGTTGCCCTCCATTAGTTTTGAGTCTTGAAGATACTTTAAAAACTGATCAAAGGCCATCAGAGAGTAATCCCTGTTATTGTAATAGGAGTAAAGAACAGGTTGTTCTTTGATGTTATTCATACTGAAAGAGGATTCAGAAACACGTTCCAAGCTATAAATACTGATTTCAAGGCTGTGCGATAAATATACCATTACATTACATTTCACTTAGCTGACGCTTTTGTCCAAAGCGACTTCAAATAAGTGGTCGGATTTTTGGAGGTCTTGCATAATATATACAGTAGCTTTATGGTCGGAATCCATCTCTTAACCACTTCCGCTGTCATTGCTCTTAGTTTCCACTAAGACAAAATAATGCTATCAGAAACAGGTCTTTGTATCTATTTAAACGCCACAAATGTATTCTTTTGTGGAAACCAGAAGGTATCGATAGCACAGATTATGTCGCAGAGAATAATCATTTTAATTAAATATATATCCTGATTGAATTGCGTTTTTATTATATTATAATCTGTGTAGGCGAAATCCTTAAACAGCTGCTTGTGTTTGGACAACATTTTAAAAGTTTGCTTTATGTTGGATTATTAATAAAAGCCTTTTGTCGGAGAAAGGACGGAAAATAAACACAAATGGGGGTAAAAAAAGAGAATTTTGATTGATAATAACGGGGAGAAAAGCAACTTCTTTTAAATACAAAATTGTAGAGCAATTTCTGGTTCTCATTTATCAGTGCCAGATTTAGAAAATTGAGTGTTGCTTTAATTTGACAAGTAATCGAGGGTGAAGTTTGAGTTGTATCCCAATTTTACACACCCGACACAAAACTTCTGTGCTCCATCTACAGTTAAGGGTTGACCCCATTAATAGAGTTGTTGAATAATGCTAAGAGCATGTGAAACAGCCACATAACCAGTTTGACCGGATTGTTACTTCTCTGAGCTTGGAGAGACAACAATACTGTCCTTTCCCCTGAATTGTATTTGTTTATAATATTTTAAAAGGGACTTATCATCAAATTAGTGCAAGTGTTGATAGCATGGCTCCAGTTTCTGTAATTCTGTCTCACTTCTACTGATAATATGTTTTCCAAGGCCCAACAGATGCTATGCAGAACAGTGTTTGTCCTTGAGTGGTACCCAATCTCAAAGCTTTAAAGGTCCCATGTCATGCTTTTCCGGTTATTACCCGTCCCCTTGTGTGTTATGAAGGTTGCGGGTGCTAGTGGAGCCTCGCAGATGGGGGTGCTGCAGCCCCCTCAGCATCCCCCCCTTCCCGCATCCATTCGCGATGTCTCGCTGTCTCGCAGGTCCCACGCAGCAAGCAGGAAAAGAACCCAGCTCACACTGTCCGCTCCTCGCAGCAGCGAGCCGCGCAACGCCCCGCCAACACGGCACCCAGACCCCACGCAGCATTCTCATCTGTTTGTCCTTACTGGTGTCATTTTCTGGTTGCTAACGCCATTGTAACACATAATCACTGATGTTCCGCTGTAACGGTGGTGGACTCATCAGAACAGAGTGGGCGAGCTGACCAATCAGAGCACACTGAGCTCACAGGGAGTGGGGGGGGCAGGAGCTCCAACAAGCCGTTTAGGACAGAGAGTGACTACACATATTATACAGAGATGCTGTATGAGAAACCAATGTGAGTTTGGAACATTGAACAATATAAATCTATTCTAGTATACCTCAACAATGGAATTATGATCTGTAGAAATGGCCATGACATGGGACCTTTAATTCGTTTTTGTTGATCGGTCACCATTTTAAACACCCCTCCCTGAACCACCCAGGGAGGAGACTGTTTCCAGAGCAAAGGAGCTACACTTACAAACACTAAAATTGTCGGCAAATCAAAACACCACCCTTCTGAAGTCCTGCCCTTCTTCAGACAATGTCAGGAACTCTGCTTCTACATTCTGTTGTAAATCAAATAACGCTGTCATTGTTTCATCAAATATTTGAAAAAGGCAGCTCCATTGTTCAGGCTTGTCTGTCATCGTTATGGGGCTTTGATGAGAATGTGCTCGCAATATGAATGCTTTCTTTTCTTTTTGCACCTTGGACTCTCACCTTCTTAAGATTTCATGTCAAGTTGAGCTTAGAACTGTAGTTAAAACACATTATCGTTTAGAATCAGACCTCAAATGCCTTTATAATTAAAAGTTTCAAGTCTTATTGCAAATGTGTTTTATTCAATTTGTCCTCCATTTCGTCTTTGGTGGTAATATGTAATAGCAATAGTTGAGATCTTTATAAAATTGAACTTACTATCACATGTTTCTGTTCCTATAATTCCCTTAACTCAAACCCACATAGAGAGCTCTCCGTACGGAGCCGTCTACCTGTCCCCCCCTCTGGACAACAACTGGAGAAGGTGAGTGGCACATCTGTTAAACTGCTTTCTGAATTTCTCTTCTCTTCTTCCTCTAATTATATTATTTTACAACAGGAAGGGTTTCCTTTTGCCACCCTGTTTCCTGTATCAAGCCTCTCTGTGCCTACTAGTATTGTCTTTCTACATCTAGGCTCCAGCCGTCTGGATCAAACAGAAATGTATATATCGATGACCGAATGTCCAGGACAGAACTGGGGCAGGGCGACGGGCGGAGCTGTTAACCTTTATTTGTGCACAAGTGCTGTGCTAGCCCTGGGAAGGCTGAGACAACCTAAAGATGTTTGACAGATAGCCTTTTGCTTTAAAGGTCATGCCCAACAGCCGACAACCTACTGTTAAGGAATTGTATGTTGTCACAGCACAACTTCCCAGAATCTCCAGCCTAGCACATATTAAATAAAGGTACCTTCTGTAAAACAATCCTACACTGCTAGCTGGCCTTGATTTGAGCTTCATTTTTCCAGATCTCGTTGTGCCTACGTAGAGCAGTCAGTGTATTGTAGGCGGCTTTTCTTCAGTGTTTACAAGAGGGTGAATTATGGCCCTGTGTTAAAAAGGCTCAGCCAAGCTCCTCCCCATTCACTCATGCTCCGTCTCCACACTTGTGTTTAGTGTGCTGGCTTTGGCCGGCTGCCAGTCACCCTGCCTCCTCTTCTTCCAAAGCGCAGACACAGACATTCGCCAGGCTCCGTGTTGAGCGAACCACAACAGCTTGTACTGTAGAAATGAATAAAGCCCACGCCCTGTCGTCATTGTTGACAGCACAAAACAGGTTGGCTGACAAACGTCGTGTTATCAGAGTGGGTGTGTTTCTGGGACAGCCATGTGGCACAAAGCAATGAATGCAGACGTTTTATTTGCGCGGCACGGCTCTGTTCCGCACTGTGTTTCTCAATGAAAGTTTGAGCATTATGGTACCTCGACATCATAATATGGAAAACAACCAATTACTTTTTTTATTGAATAATTACATTTTCCGTCATGAAGGTACTTGTTGCCTTTGTGTTTTTGTTATAAGCTGTAAAGGGATGGACCAAAGCAATTCTGACATTTATTTTCTATTGATTCCCATTCGTGGTCACTGTGAAAATAACAGTACTACAATCAAATCCTCACAGCCTTTTTCGATTTGTGAAAATAATATTTTTCATGCAACCTTCTAAAGTGGCAAAGCATTTATCTATACTATTTCACTCCCTTTGATTGTTGTCCACCATTCCATACAGATAGCCTTGTATTAGTGATTGGCATCATCTCTGTCAAGTCTCTGCAGGCCGAGCATCGCCTCCTGCTCCAACCTGCATCAGATTGTTGTCACAGTGTGTAACACGGATACATTTCCCCCTCAGCAGTAGATTTTGGCCAAATTCACTGTCAAAAGCAGGCAAAGATAAACTAGTTTCCCCTGGTGAAAACTGGCTGTGTCGGAACAGATGAGTCAGAAAGCTTGGAGAACTGCTTAACTTCTACCAATCTTACCATATGCAAGTTTTACACACAAAATAGTTACATTGTGTTTTGGAGTGCTTTTTTAATATCGATAACAATATGTATTAACCCCAAGCTTGAGGTGTAACAAGCTTACTTTGAAAAAACATTTTGATATGATCTGGATGTTTCTTGCCAAGACAAACATGGGTGCTCTTGTCTATGCGTTCTTATTTCTAGTAGCTTATTGCTGCTATGTAAAAAAAATCTGGCTAGTAAACCTTCCTGCAGTTGAGGGATCTGGCAGGATGTCATAAGTGAATTAGACTTGTATGGCTCATGGGTGATTTACCGACTCTGGGCTCCAGAGAGCATGTGAAAGAGTCAAATGGATCAAGAAGGTGCAAATAATTTGTACACAAAAGTAGAAGGATATAACTTATAAGAAGGAACTTCAGGCACATACAGAAGACATGTTCCTCATCCCTGAGCAGAACAGAAATCACCGTTAGATCTTCTTCTTTTGTGTAACGTCAGAGGTCCAACTCGGTGTCGTGTAGCCATGCCCGCATCTCTGGTCCTACGTCGAAGAGGCTGGCTTCCGAGGGTGGTCTATATAAAGGCCAGGTGGTTATTATATGTTCGGCAGTCTATTCAGGGTCACCGCACTCGCATGCAGCACTGTCTGCCAGGCCCCACTTCTTCATTGATGTTTTGAAGCGACCGACCCCAGTTCGTAGACGGTTTAGTTTAGATAGACAACCATTTCAAATTTTAGACAAACTATATCCCCGAAAAAGTTTTGCAGAACATTTGAATGGAAAGGTCAGATAGAAAGGCAACCCAGGATTTTCTCTAAAGAATTAAACAATGATGTTGCACCATAATACCGTACTATTGCAGCACCATTATTCTTCACCCAGACCAGAATGATGATGGCAATTTTGAGTATTAACTGTTTTAATTATGATAGCTTCAAAACTACCAGATGTCCAGGCTACACCACTGGGTCCAAGCTGAACTCCAACATCTAAATATGTAGTTTTCAGTTGCGAAACTTTTATCAAATTTGTGGAACCAAGATTACGTCACTTGTCGGGTCACAAATGTTATCATTATTGATAGTATTTCATTCGGAATATTTAGCAAGAGGTTCCTTGAAATGTAGGCTGTATAAGTGGAAATAACTGAATGAACAGTATATAATAATAATAAGAAGAAGAAGATGGACCTTTATTAATCCACTCTGTCGTACACACACATGCGATTTTATACAGGTAATACAGTGCACAGTTTTTACAACATGCACAAATACACACCCAGTTATATGCACACATGCACATGCAGTTGAGAGGTCAGAGCGGAGGAAGCCAGTCTAGCCGGCGCCAGTGAGCAGTTGGGGGTTAGGTGCCTTGCTCAAGGGCACTTTGGCAGTGGCCCAGGAGGTGAACTGGCTCCTCTCCAGTACAAGTCAACACTCCGTATTGTTTCGTCCGATCGAGACGTGAACCGGCGACCCTTCGGTCCAAAGTCCAATCCCCTACAGCAGTGACCACCAACTGGCGGCCCGTGGGCCACATCCGGCCCGCCAGACATTTTCATCCGGCCCGCACGACGGGGTGACTGTGGCATTGGTGGAGTGGTTACTGCGTTCCCCCCCCGACCCATTTTTTCGAGATTTTTTTTTTTGTGAGTAAGGTGCAGTACCGGAGTCCAACAGAGAGGCAGCAGCTGCGGGACAGTAGACTGCATAGTGCGAAACCTTCCCTGCCTTGAAGAAGAATTGATCCTTCGCTGTGAAGAGTCTGGTTAATGCGCTCCGCACCACAGCAGTAGCCACGCTGCGACAGAGTCCAACAGAGAGGCAGGAGCTGCGGGACAGTAGCCTAGAAGCAGGGTTGGGTTGTAACGGAATACATGTAACGGCGTTACGTAATCAGAATACAAAAATCCAGTAGGCTAACTGTATTCAGCTGGCGTTACATTTGAAAAACGAGTAATCTGATTACAGTTACTTTCGTAAACCTGAAGTGAATACATTTTGGAATACTTATTGGAATTATTGGTGGAAAAGTTTCCTCTCAAAATGTAATATTCATTACCGTCAGAACTTTGTGCACACTGCACAGCGCTGCAGCATGTCAGTGAGCAGAGAGAGATGCAGCATGTCTGTGAGGCCCCGCCCCCGCACGCAGATGAGAGAGAGATCTCTTTTAAAATATATTGAAAGTTAGAAACGGAGATGGTTAGATAAAATGTGCAAGATAACGTTTATGTAGCATTTATTTATTGTCGAAATGATGACATTTCATAACGGGATCAAATCAAAGTGAATGGCCTGCTGCTGCTGAATGCATGGGGCAAGTGACTGGAAAAAGTTTTAAAAGTTATTACATCGTTTCAGATAATAAATCATAATGATAATTCATTCTATTTAGGGGCGCCTTTCAAAGCACCCAAGGACACCTTACAATTCATAACATATTCCAAGGAAAGGTTTTAAGACAGTACAAAGAATGCAGTCCTGGTGATGTTTTTTATGTGGGGTGCAGATGAGAGGGAGCTGTCCAGAATGACGCCAAGATGTTGTGTTTGAGTTCTTGATAAGCCATTCAAACAGTAAAATACGTGTCTCCTGTTCACCAAAACATACCCATCTGTTATGGAAAAAGAAAGTATTCCAAAAGTATTCTAAAAGTAATCTAAATACGTAAATACTTTTTTAAGACATGTAACTGTAACTGTATTCTGATTACTTTCAGAGCATGTATTCAGTAATCAGTAACTGATTACATTTACAAAGTAACCCTCCCAACCCTGCCTAGAAGTGATCCTTTTGTTAGCGTGAAGAGTCTGCTAAGCTTTATGCGGTCCGCAGTACCTGAGCGTGCTCCACTAGCTATTGCTATTGGGAAGTCATGAACTCAATTTACATGAATCAATGAAATGTGGTGACTTTCGTATGATATGGTATATCCGTTACGTGTCTACGCGTCATGTAAAAGGAATTAGAGTCGACTTAGGACAAAGACACGGTAGAGATCTTGAGCTGTCCTAATTGTTACGGGATGTTGTGAAAATTTCGTTTGAAACTAGCGACATGTAATGTTTCCGCGCAACGGAGATTTTCACAGAACTGATCCTCTCACCTGACTCAGTATACCGGTGGGTCAGAGCAACAGTATGCGTAAGATAATTCTGAATTAAGAATGCAGACCTGTCTCAAACTGGAATACAATCGGAACTGCGACTTTGGGTCTTACCTCCAGTCGACCCGACGAACTCTCCTGTGCCAGACTCTCGTCGAGTAAAACACACGTCGTAAGACACCTGTTCCAAGAGAGTGATGAAGGGGATTCGTTCGTTGAGATTCTTCTGCGATGAATCAATAACCTACATCGGCAGTGCTGACGGTAGTTCGACTTGAGGCTACTCTAAATAAAAAGGTCTCGTCTTTCAAGACGGAGGGTCTTTACAACAAGTCTGATTTGTTGTTAGACGAGCTGTGTGTGTGGGGTGGGGTTTTGTGTGTGGTGTCTGTTGTGTGTGTGTGTGTGTGTGTCGTGTGTGTGTGGTGTGTTGTGTGTGTGTGGTGTGTGTGGTGTGTGTGCGTGTGTGTGTGTGTGTGTGTGTGTGTGGTGTGTGTGTGTGTGTGTGTGTGTGTGCTGTGGTGTGTGTGCTATGTGTGTGTGTGTGTGTGTCACACACCAAAGCAACCGCTGAGCCGTACTACATACCCTAGATACTGTCGGTTGTGTAGTCTTGTTTGACTATGACCTGGTTCCCACATCAGGTCGGTTTTATTAAATACCAAAACCATTCTTGCGCAAACATAGCAGTCAATCTGACTCCAATAAGGGATTAGACCATATTTGTAATGATCTCAAATATCTGTATGAATTCGATGAGATTTCCGGTCCTCTTCGCCTGCACGGTGGTGTCCGGTGTGTACCTATCCCCCATGTC